TCTAAACAAAAATATAATCCAGCCTCATTACAGCGTTTTCCTGTATGCGCAGCCTGTTTAAGGTCAAAGGTCAGACATTCTCTCCTCATCCAGGTCATCTGTTCATCTGGACAGTAGACTGGATCCACAAACCAACAGTGATGCTATATATTTATACTTTTTGTATCACTGTATATTAGGAATGGACAATACATCGGCATCAATATCGGTATCGGCCAATGTTAGTCATTTTTTAACATATCGGTACCGGTCCGATTAGTAAAACCAGGCCGATATTAACAATCGATATTTTTTCCATCTCATTTCCATTTGTTTGCCTGTTTCAGATGGTGTGTGTGTGTGTGTGTGTGGGGGGGGGGGGGGGGGGGAATTGCTTAGCCATGTGACAGTGAATGAAATCATCTCAGAATCATAAATGTTTGTGTTGTGTGTACATAGTAAAGTAAATTCAGCTTTAATAATTTTCATTCTATACAAATTCTGCAGATTTTAGAAGCTTTAATGTCAGTATATCGGTATCGGCAAATATCGGCATCGGCCCCAAAATTTCATATCGGTGCATCACTGCTGTATATTATATTTAGCAAGTTAAAGAGCAAAGATCCGTTCCATCCAACGAATAGCAAGCTTGTGTTTAAACTGCTCTTTGTAGGGATTTCCCAGATTCAGTCACCTCATCAGACTAGAGCTTAGATGATGAAAATGTATACTTTGTGACGTGGATAAACTAAAAGAGTAAAAAGAACTCCCCATCGTTCCCTTTGGTGGTGATCTATTAGATGGCGACCTCGACTTCCCGTGCTTGGCACCAGTTGTTCCTAGGGGCATCCCGTGGTTAATGTCTCCATCTCCTGTGATTGGCCATAAAGAGCACAGCGGTTGGTAACTGGCGGGTTGCTTTGCCAGCGGGAGGCTGTGGGTTGGGCCACGCCGTTTGGCCTGATCTCTAATTAGCACTGGCTTGTCAGTTGGTCAGGGTGGATCTGTCTGGGAAATTGCAGTCTTGGACACACAGACAGTCAGTGCACATAAACCAGAGGTGGGAATTGCACAGTGGAGCAACTGAAGGATGAGGATTTTCCTTCTGTTTCATTTAGTCTGCGATCGTGTGGCTTTGACTTGTGTTGCCGCTTGATACTTCTTAGACTCAAGTGGCTTATTTAAAGCTCAGGGTGTGTTTGTGTGCTCTTGAGTGTGAGTTTTAGTGGTGTGGCTGCAGCAGTGAAGTGGTTAACAGTCTCCGGGGAGGCTCATGTTACCAGTGGTAGGGCAGGTCCTCAGCTTGTCTCCCTGCAGTTTCTGCCGATGTTAGTGCAGACAAACGGTGCCCAGAGGATGAAGCATCAGTGACAAAGGAGCTGGATCCAGGAATACCGCCAGGAAGAAAAGGAGACGGGGAGGAGATATTTATTTGTGTGAACTGTCTCAGCAGCATAGAGTCATGAAGCTCTCTGTCCAGCTTGGCATTTTTGTGGAGCGCCCTGGTTCCCACAGCAACACTGGCACCCTGAACAGGTATGGTGTGTGCACCAGTGTGCAGCGTTAGAGTTTACTTTGGGTTATTTTAAGGACACAGGAACAGGGATGTAGCCTTCCAGACGAACTTTCTTGTGTGATGTGTGTGGGAACCCCCCCCCCCCCCCCCCCCCCCACCCACCCCGGCTGTATGGGTGAGTTGAAACAGTTGTGGTCACCCCAAACCTTTCAGCACCTCTCTGCTTTTTTTCCTCCATGGATGCTTTCAACTCTCTAAACCATGTCTTTGCTGAGCTTCTGGGTGATTTATTAACCTGGTGACTTCAGAAGGAAGTTGTTTTCCCTCCATATCAGTTCATCAGGTTGTTTGAAAAGCAGCAGATGAATTTAGCCTGAAAGTTTGTCAAGAACCATCTGATTAAGGTCTGGCGGTTTTCTGAATCTGGGATTTTTGCCATTGGACATCTTTGTTATTGTTTGGGTATTTTGTTGAGAGCTACAATTACAGATGTTCACTTGTGGGTGAATGTGGGACTTCCTACTTGGCTTCTGAGCATCGCTGCTTTTGGTTTGTATGAATCAAAGCATGTCTGCTCTACTTTTATATGAAGATCAAACCAGAGGATGATAGGGAGCAGATATCAGTCGTTGGGTTTTAAACCACAAAGCAGACAGGTGGTAAAAAGTTAACAGCTCCATGCACTTCCATGACTCTGTGATTTTGCAGGGTTAGGGTTAGGGTTGGGGAAAAAAAGCTTTCAAAAGCTGATGAGTAAATTGATGTAAAATGACAAACCTGGCAAGTTCAAGTCACAATCATAGTTCCCCCTTCCCTGTGCAAATAATATTTAAAGTGACAGTGTGTATTTTTCCTGGCGATAGGGGGCAGTAGATACCTAAATCTTGCAAGCAAGTAGTATTTTTGTGTTGGCACCTTACCAACAGATGCCCATTAGGGTCAAAAAGCCCTGGGGAGTGCTAAATGTATCAAACTAACAAGCACATCATACTCCCTTTCATCACTGGCAACAGGTGTGTAAAACAAGTCAAGAATGACAAAAGTTTTGTAACTGTTTGTTACAAATCAGAAAATGCATTTTGTCCTCATGGGCTCCCGTAGAAAGAAACATGGCATCTAATATGGCGTCCCAGAGACTTAGACCCGCTCCCATGTATTTTAGACCTGACTTTTATGGTTATATGATATGTGACGAAACCGTCAATATTTTGAACAACTGGGCATCATTTCCTTCATTTTCAACAACATTTTGATGGATATTTCCAGATATTAATGGTTAAAACTACACATTTTCCCTTTAAGGAAATCTTTATACCCTGCAACTCTGTTCTGAAAAGGAAACAAACATAGAAACAAAATGTCTCAGCTGGAGCTGAGATTGAACTTAAAGTGCCGTGACCAGTGTGGCTAGTAACACGGACTGGCTCATTAATCACTTGAGTGGATCCATGAAAACCACTATGGCTTCACTCATTTTTTTTTATTTTTTTTTTTGTCTACTGCTACTTTGAAGCCTTAAATTGGTCATGTACTCATTTCTATTTTGGTCCTTTTGGAACCAAAACTTAGCCTAGCAATCTAGACCAACCGTAGCAGTAGCAGTCGGTCTAGCCACGAGTCAACCTAGCCTCAGCAGGTCTACCGCTGGACCGAACTGTTTTGTGTCTCGGCAATCACAGAGCTCTATATTTGCTAGGCGGGCTTAACACTTGAGCTGCAACAGAGAAAAACTACAAAGATGGCATTGGTGCTCATTTGAAATGGCTTTAGCATCAACTTTGGACAAATTAGACTTGACTTGACCAGACAGAAGTACTTAATTTATTTATTTAAAAAAGTTATGCATTTACTTCTTTTTGTTCTTCTTCTTTGATGGTGTTTGGCAGACTGCCTTGTTGACTGATTTCCGTAGTGATGAATATGTCTCATTGTTCATTGATCTGATTGGTCCTAGCATTGTCCAGTTGCGTGCAGAGGCAGTTTGGAAGACAGTCACAACTGAGCTCTGCCAATAGGTGATGGCCAGACTATATACTCACACATATAGGATGGCTTGCCAGGCTAGCCAGAACTGGTTTTATTTGAACAACATGGTGAAACCTGATCCAAAAGAAACACATCTTGGAGATCCAATACTACTTTGATTACAACAAGATCTTCAGATGGTATTTTGTAAGTTAAAGGGATTTTAATGGAAGGATGGACCCTGAGATATTTTACAGTTATCCTACTAGTGGTCATCAGTGGTATTACGGTTCTTCTTTGGGTTCATGTTTGAACATCAGTGACTTTGTCCATTTTGTACATAATTAATTGTATAAACTGCAAAAACGATGATGTCATTAATAAATGGTCTTGACATGCAATAAACAGTAGAAGCATGGACTTGAAACAATTTCAGCTGTATAGTCACTTTAATCCACGATGCTAACTCTTGGGCTATGATCAGCTGGATTAAAGTTAAATGATCTGTGAAAAGTCTAGAAGATAAGGAACACTGGGACACACTTTTAGCCTTTATTGTTTGTTGTCCGAGTCGTCTGGTGCGTCCAGCACGGCTCCGGCTGTCACCATCAGCCTCCCTCTGGTCCTTTCAGAGTGGTGTTTGCCAAGTGGCTGGGCTTCCTGTACCCCACAGACTCAGAGCGGATGCGAACACAGACACACACCCCAATACACACACAGACATATTTGCAGATATCCTTAACTCCTGGCATGTCTGCTCTGTTCAGATGCATCTGTTTGAACAGTTCACACACACACACAAGCTCACCATGATGTCACGCCTGCAACGAACCTTTGTTCGGATGACAGACAGCCCCATTCATCCAGTCAGTGTGTGTGTCCAAGTTGAAATCAATTTAATGGAGAATAAAGGAAGAGGAACACCAGGCAGTCTCAAACACAGCAGCAGCCATCTTTTATTTAGAGCTGAAATTCACAGAAGGTTTTCTATTTTTACGGTTCATCTAAAGGCACACATTCACATGATCAGTGGTTTTTTAACCCTCCCACTGTCTTCATGGGTGACCTCGCGAGGCAAGTTGACCATTGAGCAGGATTGATGGTTTATCACTTGAGGTCCACGTGGCAGGGGTGAGGTGGTGCTCACTCCTCACCCCTGCCACATGGACCCAAGGGATGAACCATCCACCCTGCTCAATGGTCAACTTTCTTTGCAGGTTCACTCCCATTAGGACAGTGGGAGGGTTAAACATCTGCATTGACCTCTGTTGGCATTTGTTACATTTGAGTGTAGCGATCTTTTATTAGATAAGGAAGAAAATCTGACAATTAGACCAAATGTCATCTTTATAAATAAATATAAATAATTTGATTTTATTTCCTGTCTCTGCCAGCGCTCTGATTATTTGAAGGTTTGTTTCTGCATCATGTTCCTAAAGAGCAGCTGCCTGATAAAGAGTCGAGTGGGCTCCCAGATGCTGAACAACATCTGGTTCAACCATAAGTGATCCTTTGTCCTTGTCGTTGTGTTTACCTGTAGCTGGGATGACAGCAGCTCTGTGAGCAGTGGCATCAGCGACAACATCGACACAGATGACATCAACACCAGTTCCTCCATCTCCTCCTACGCCAACACACCTGCAGCGAAGCGCAAGGGCCTGAGCACACAGGTAAGATGACAAACACACACTAGACATGTGTTACTGGTCACCCTCCAGTGAAATACAGTTGAAAGAGGAGCTTCTCCCCTCAATCCTGTTCACTTCGTGTGTTGGTTTTGTTAAATTCTAAATAATTTTACCCAATAAATAATTTTTATTAAATATAATTGCACAAAATACAGAAAGCAACAAAAATGTGCATGTTTTAAGTAATTATACACATTTCTATTTAATTAAAATGTTGAGTCACTTGTGTTGCAATGTCATTCATTTGACTGGAAAATTATGAGATTGGAATTACTTTAAGATCGTTGTGTGAAATATTCTTAAAACTAATTTATTTTCAGCAAAACATTTTACAGAAAATTATTGTTTTTTCCCCCAAATGAAGCCTACCAGTTTTGTTTTTATTGATATCGCTACTTATTTAAAATGCAGAAAACACAAAGAAAACATTTAAAATTTACATTTCATTCAGTCACAAAAAGTCACCAAACTGTGAATTTTGAACTTGCAGTTTTCATACAAATAACAACAACAAAACAATTTTAATCTGTCACATTCAATTCATACTGACCTCAAAGCTGATGGCATTAGATAATCAGCAGCTTTTTAAGTTTTTTTGCTATATTTAGGCCAGGGGTATAGGCAACCTTGGCCCTCAAGATCCACTGCGCAGCATGTTTTAGGCCCAGCCCCAATACCCACATGGCAGCCTGTGGTCCTCTAACAAGTGCACTTGGTGGAATTTTATGTAGGGCCTCTAGTGCATAGTTAACAAGTGTGCAAATAATTGCAGAATTGAGACACTGAACATTGCATCATCATCTTGCTCCACTGCTTCAAATCTCTGTGACTTCATGCAATTATATAAAAAAGGCTACATTGCTGGCATGTTGTGCCCAAAACTGCACACCAGTACCGTGATCAGTTAACAATATTTTTCAAAAAACATGTATTGTGTTTTTTTCAGCAGAGGAACATTTGAATTTAATCATAACACATTAATAAAATATTCAATATTTAAACTTGAAAAAAAAAATTGGGGGGGGAAAGCACACGAGCCATTTCTCTGTCTTTGTTCCAAAATTCCCACACAGCAACATGTTGTCGGTAATAACCTTCGCCAAAGTCCACACCAACGCGGGCATCAGTGAAATACAGATTAAGGGTGCGCAATGGGCTGAGCCAAGGTCCACACTTGAGAATTGGGACACCCTACGCCATTGATAGGCAACTCCCTGCCCCGAGGACCGGTAACCAACATGTTTTAGTTGTTTCCCTGCTCCAACACACTTGATTCACCTGTTCAGCATCTCATCAATTAGAAAAATGACATGTGCTGGAGCAGGAAAACCACTAAATCATGCTGGATAGCAGCACTCGAGGACGAGAGTGGCCTATCCCTGATTTAGATATACTTATATTGAGTCTAAACAATTAAATTAAATTAATCTTGAAGATTATTTATTTATTCATCTATACTTATGTCATTCTCCAGCTGACATTGCAGACCAGTAGTTGGGTACACAGCAAGTGTGTGGTGGTTGTTCATTCCTGCGGCAGAGGTGGAGGTGCTGATTTAAAAACAAAAGATGGTACAAAAGGGTCATTCTCTCACGCAGCTGCCTGACAGTACAGTTTCAGACGGTCTCATCATCTTTCCTCAGCTAATCAAATATGGGCTTGACTGTGTTTTATGAGGTCTCAGAGCAGATCAGCTTGCAGGTTTTTTGTTTCCTTGGGAGCTGCAGAAGTGTATTACATACCTGCTGAACTAACTTTAATAAATATAGCATCAGATTAATGAATGATTGGTTTTTACATCAGAATCCATTTTTGTGATGAAAGATTCAAATGAAAAATATTCTAATTTGACAGTAAAATCTCAAAAATGTGAAATAAGAGAATCATAGAAGTGAGCATAAACAAATGCAATTGTTTCATAACATTTTATTAATCTTTACCAATAAAACAAGCATTTAGAAATCTACAAATCTGTATATCATAAGACTTTTGGCTTGTTCTGACAAGAACAGTAAAAATGTACTTCTTAGATTTTGATTTATCTTGAACCTTTTGCACTCAAGTCATAACATGCTCACTTTTACAGTTTATTGCTGCAGATTACCGGTACTTGGTGTGATTGTTGGATCCATGCTGTGTGTTTATTTCAGCCTGTGACTGATGCAGAGAAGCACTCAGCCTCCACTGCAGTGCATCAAGCCTGGGCAGGAGACGAGGTGAAGAGGCCAGACAGCGGGTCAGACACCGGGGTCAGGATGGATACAGGCAAGTGGAGCCGCAGGACATGTGACATCTCAGATGAGTCTGACAAGGGCGGCTCGGGAAGGAAGACCCCCTCTGTGTCCCAGACAGGCTCGTGGAGAAGAGGCATGAGCACTCAGGTGGGGGTGACATCACCCCGGACCAAAAGCACAAGTACCGCAGGATCTGCAGTTTCAGTCGGTCTCAAGAGCCACAGCTCAGGTAATTACAGTTCACTTAAGTCCCTTAAACCTAATGAGATGTTATTTATTTTGTTGAAAGAAATCTGGAAGTAAAACTTTAAAGTAACAAAATGTTTCCTGCCTCTCCCTCCTACTGTGGTAAACCCTGCCGCAGCCTGCTGTAGTTAGTGTTGAGAACAAGCTAACGCTAAAATTAGTCAGCTGAGACGGAATAAGCCACAAATCAATAGGAAGCACACTGTTGGACACAAAAACATTGCTCACTACTTTCAAATCCAGTAGCAACAAAGCCAGGTCACCATCAGTCTGTGGTTTTTGTAGCCTCCTTTAGCTCTGTCTAAGGAGTGTAGGCCGAGCCGATGTTCACTCTGGTTTTATATCTTTGTGTCACCTCCACATACATTACTCTATTACTTTACTTCCAGGCTCAACAAATAGAAATCAAAATTCTTTGTCTTTTCTAGTGCTTTTTGATTTTTATCGATTGTTGTCAAAACTTTTAAGCTAACTGCTTGCCTTTGTATGAGCTACCAACACAGTAAATCTGTAAAGAAGATAGAGACTTTTCTCTGGTGCTGACTCAAACCATAAAAGTTGGTTTCTGGACATAGAGCTGGTCCATGTGAAGTTGCTCAAGTTCCTGGCTAAAGAATCACTGAAACCAGTTGAAAGCAATAGCTTAAATCCTTAAAAACTCTTTAGTGTTGCTTTAACTTTATCAGATTCTTTGCAGCAAAGATGCTGAATTAAGGACAAATGATGTCAGAATGAATTCATGTGACCCCATGTGAATCTGTGTGACCTGCAGGTAAGACAGATGATGTAAAGGTGTCAGAAAAAGGCCGCCTCTCTCCTCGTTCTAACGGCCTTCAGCGCTCGCCCTCGGACACTGGGCGCAGCAGCGGTGATGAAGCGAAGAAGCAGCTGGTCCCAACAACCCGAACGCCAACCACAAATTCACTCACACACACTGTCTCAGACCCACAATCCCACATGCACACACTGACCTCCCGCACCCCAACAAGCACCTTCGGCTTCAAGAAACAAGGTGCTGGGATTGTTACCATGGTCACGGCAAGTGGCGCCACAATCACCAGTGGATCAGCCACCCTGGGGAAGATGCCTAAATCAGGGGCACGTTCACTGTCTGGAGGCTTAAAGTCCGGCGGGCAGGACGGAGGCTCGGTGTTGGGTCACCACGATGACGTCTTCCTTCCCATGAGTGCACGCTCTACGTTGCAGTACCGCAGCCTGCCAAGGCCCAGCCGCGCAGGAGCGGCCGCCCGCAACGGGAATCGCTCCTCCACCAGCAGCATTGAAGCCGCGGTGCTCTCCGTCACTTCTCATGGAAAGAACTCCATCAGCCTTGCCAAAGCCAATGGCTCGGGAGGATTGGCAGCCAATCAGACGGACCGGGAGAAGGGAGTGTGTGAAATCGATAACCTGAGAAGCGGGGGAGCAGCGGCGATTCCAGGGAGGCAGCAGGTTTCTTCACCTACACTGCGCAGGTGAGCACACACACGTCTTCATAAATCATCAAGATCATGATTTATCTTCACTGAACTCCTAAAGGCTGATGAGCCACTCTGAGTGGGGCCTCCTGCATGGGCTTGAGTCACACACACACACACGCACACACCCTCTCTGCAAGGTTATACCAGGCCGTTGTGAATGCGGCCTTGAGCTGAGCTGATCAGCTGCCAAGCCTCAGCCTTGGTGGTGCAGCAGCGAGGGAGGTGGAGGTGGTAGGGGAGGGTGTGGTGCACTTTAATGCAAGCTGAATCTTACCTCAGCTCTCTACCCTCATTAATGTGAGGGAGTGATAACTCTTCAAAGGAGACATGCTGCTATTATCCCCCACCAAGGCCTCAGTCATCACAGCCTGCCATTTAACTCCAACCCGAGCTTAGAGCAGAACAAGGAGAGAGTTGTGTGTGTGTGTGTGTGTGTGTGTGTGTGTGTGTGTGTGTGTGTGTGTGTGTGTGCGTGCGTGCGTGCGTGCATGTGTGTTTCTCTCACTACAGACCTGCTACTGTATGTCTTGTTTCACGGAGGTTACAGGATAAAACGTCTTTCTTTTCTCCTGGCAGCTCCGTTTGAACCCACACTACCTTAATTTGGGGTCTTGTTTCTTTCTTTCTTCTTTTGTTTCCACTAGACATTAAGTTCACTTAGTACACCAAAAACAAAACAATCAGTGACTTGAAAACAAACTTGGTGTTAAGAGTATAAACGAAATTGGCACTATTTATAAGTATTACGGTTCTCTAAACCGACCTCTCCTGGCAGCACCACTTCCTGGCTCTTAGCAGGGGTGTCGAGCACGGTGAATGGGTGAAACTTGACCTTGACGCTTAACCAACCAAGGGAGAGAACGCTTGTGTAAGGGCTGGATTATGGCTAGAGGGAGTGAAAGAGAAAGTCACCACTAAATATAACAAAATACCTCGGTACTATCTTTTCACTGACACCTTTTACACACAACGTGATGAATTGTTTTGGACTGTCTAACAATGTAAAAGTTAGTGGGGTGGTGTTCATGAGCGTGTAAACATGATCAAGTGTAATTTTAGTGTTACACTTTGCAGAAAACTAGAACTTTTTTGTTCCTCTGTTCTTTGTGAAGCGCACTCTAGAGCTGGATTAGCAGAGACTAAGCACATATTAAAGTCTTGTTCACCCTCTATTGGTTGGATTGCCATAGTAATATGGCCAAAAAACTTCATTTATTTATATAGAACTTTTCAACAGCATGAAGCCAAAACAAAAAGTAAAAGGTTCATTATTAAAGAAATAAAAACAAGACATAAAAACCAATAAAAACAAATAATTCAAACAGACTTAAACGTTACTAAAACAGATGCGTTCTCACTCTGAATTAAATTAATTATCACAAATGACTTAATAGATATTGACCAATCTGAAAGTCAGCACTCCAATAGACTTGATTTTTTTCCAGTCTGTGAATGCACCACTACCATGCAGCATTGATAGATCATTCACATGGAAGGTTTTGTCTTTCCAAAATGGAAACTTGTCTCCTGTCAGTGTGTCTTGGTATCAGCGGCTCAAAGCTGTTCCAAAACATTTAGTTGGTGTCGTCCCTCAAAACCAGAATCAGCGCATCTCTTCAATGCAGTAGCACATTTTTCTTTCCAGGTGCTTATTTTCCACTTTAAACTAATAATTCATTCATTCTTTCTGTTTAAGATCACCTCCTCCTCCGTTAACGTCCTTCTCCCTTGTCCAGGTTATTTGGTGGAAAGCCCAGTAAACAGGCGCCGGTCATCACAGCTGAGAACCTGAAGAACTCCACAGTCATCTCCAACCCCCATGCTACCATGAACCACGTTGCTACGGTACTGGAGTCCCCTGATGGAGGACTGGGATGCGGGGAGAGCGAGACCTGCAGCTCTGTGCTTGGAGGCAGAGCACTGGGATCTGGAACGGGAACGCTGGGCAGCGAACAGGTGAGGAAGATGAAGGGAGCATCATCAAACCGGAAATGACAGAAATGAATGTTTACAATATTTCAACAAATACGCTCTTAAAATAACATTTGGAGAGCTGTAGACAGACAGCTCATTAAATTAGTGTCATTTAAAATGTTGGTCATGTGACTTGTGGTCAGCTGCCACTTGAGTAAAAACATCATGATGCACCTTTGAGCTGGAAGTAGATTAGGATTTGATTATAGTAAACGTACTGGAGGGTGTTTAAGGAGGACTTTGGTGGGAACATGAGGATTATTGAACTCCAGCTATGTCCCAAACAGCTGCAGGTTTTTCATCATTTCTGAACAGAAATGTTGGAACGTGCTCAGTCATGAACTCTCCATCCCATGTTCACGTCAGGTTTGTTACGAGTCGTTGTGACTCAGAGGGTAATGAGGTAGCAGTCATATCATTATGAACAGCAGGGAAGAGTTCAAGAGTTTAATCAGTTCTTTTAAATTCTATAGATCCTAATATAACTAAATAAAACACACGAGTCAGTGTAGTTAACCCTTTGATGCATGAATTATGAAATCTTCAACCATGATTTTTAAACCATTTTTTTCATTCATCTTTAGGTGTGAATGAAACAAATATCATATTTACATATTTTTTGTAACATTTAATTTACACATAATTTATTACATGTCCACCTCAGTGGGCAGCATGCATTCTGAACATGAAATATGTTGGCTTGACTTACTGAAGTCCAAATGGAGGGGTTCAAATGCAATAAAGTCTTCAACAGCTGTGCTTAATAGCAAAAATAAATAAATAACAATTTTGAGTACCTGTCCACTGTAGTGACCATTATGCACCAAAGGGTTAATAATGGTTGTTGCAACTATTGTTGTTATTATTTTAATTCTACTTACTGCCTTTACTGGTGGGGCAGGTGTCAACGTTTCTGACATGAGCCAACGTAACTGTAAAACAACTTCACACTAAAACCATGAAACAGTAGGAAGAGTGTTTACCTCCCCCTGCTGGTCATTAATAATAAATTAGATTTAGTTCAGAATCAGCAGGTGAAATGGAGATAGTCCTTATTGATTTATAATGAGTCTGCATGTCTCCCACAGGCCTCCAGCCCAGGATCAGTTTACTCCTCCACCGGCCCCTCCAACAGTCTGACATGGGGGACCACCTTCAGCAGCTCCTCTGTCCCCAGCAGGGAGGGCACTTTAGGTGGGCATGGCGGGGCTGGCAGCATGGGCTTCCCCTCTGTCAGCAGCATGCACACCAGCAGCGAGTCCATCGACATGAGCCTGGGCAGCGCCGGTGGAGGTGGGAGCGGAGTCCACGGGGCCCACAGGGAGGACACCCTCTCTGCTCTGGCACGTACCGGCAGCGTGAAAACCGGCATGTCTGAGAGGTGGGGATGAAACAAAAATGAGTTTGACATGTTTCAGCATGAGTTTTGCTGATGAAAGGGTTGTCAGTGTTCTCAGATAAATGTGACCCAGATGTGTTCATTTGCACTCATGTTTAAGGAAGCCAGCAAATCCTTAAATCCTGCCCAGTTTTAATAATTATTTAAGAGCTCAAAAGCATTGTGATCTCATGGAGATGAGGTCACTCTGTCTGCATCACACAAAGACTCCCCTGGTGTGGTCGTATGCAGTAATTGTCGTCCTCGTTACAGACTCTGGATGAGAAATAATAATATAACAGTAATATATTATCTATTCCATCACCTGGACTCGAACCTCTGATATCACCGTCCTCCCTGAGGTTCCTCATCGCTGATGAAGAATCTTCTGGTTGATTTCTGTTCTGAAACCTTCCTTCATCTACTTCACTCTAAAACTTTGCTGTTTCTCTGTGTCTGTCTTCCTTCCTGTTTTCCATCAGTCCCCTCTCCTCCCCCTCTGCTAGCCCAATATTCAGCAGAAACACGCTACCTCGGAGGCAGGACAGGTAAATCTACCTGTGTGCGGTGTTAGTCTCCTGGTGAGACCACTGTGGGTGGTCCTATGAAACCACCACCTGCTGCCACACAGGGACAACCTCAGCATGTCTGGGCTGTAGTTTGACGTGTCCCCTGTGTGGTAGTCTGTGGTTATTTTTAGGGCCTCTAGATGTTGTCTGTAATGATCTTAGCGGTCTCAGTTGTGTTGTTAGGCGGTTCTCTGTCATCTATAATGATCTAGCGCCACCTTGTGGTTGTTTATATCCTTACATTAGCTGGATTTCTCTTCATTAAAAACATTTAAATCCTATCATAGGAAATAATATTTTTAAATAAAATAAATTTCAAGAATTGTCTATGTTTATTTTTTTGTTGTTAGTTTTTTATTCTTTTTTATTTTTTTTTAAGAAAACAAATTTTAAAGATAAAAAAGGAAATGTTAAACAAACTGACAAAAATGACTGGAGTGAATAATAATTTTTCAAATGTACCTGTAAGTAGGTAGGGAGGTATTTGTGTCCTCGCTTCCTCTAAAGTGTTTCTCTCCCTCAGCGGGCATCATTGTGGTAGAAACACTCTGCCTAAGAAAGGATTCAGGTACATTTGCTTTCTGCTGGACACTTTTCCACTCATGTTCACCAAACTGTCGTCTGTTTATCCTCTTTTATTTCTGCGTCCACGTCCCTCTCATTAGGGCTTCTGCTTATGCTTCCCAACACGTTTCTGTTTGGCACTTGTGTTGTTGTGTTGTACTTCAGGCATGCCACCGTGTCCCTGCACAGGTCAATCAGTGTGTAACGCTGGGGCAGGCATACTTACTGTACCGGGGTCAACTTTTGTTATGTTGGTGTCTTTTTCTGCTTTTTTATTTATTTATTGTTTTTGTTGCTGAAAGCTGAAATCAGTCACGCTGTTGTAATAAGTTGTTGCAGCACATGGTTCATCTTCATGTTGGGTCCTGGCTATTAATCTGGCTGTTTGAGGGAAGAAAATCCACCTCACTGACTGAAACATAATCTGATCAGCTTGTCCCATTACACCACAGAGTCCACACCACCTCTTCCTGTTTTGCAGTCATGCGGTCCGCTTTAAGCGTGTCTCCGACTTCCTGCAGGTACGGTCCGTCAGCGCAGCTCAGGGGCCACGAAGATCGTGATTGGCTGCGTTCGCACTCCACCAGTGGGCTGCAGGACTCTGCCAGCAACTCGCCGTTCTCCCCCGGGTCCAGCCTCACCTCCCCCTCCGGTACTCGCTTCAACTTTGGACAGCTGGGTATGCCAAGCAGCAGAACTAAAGCTCAGATTTATGAGAGAAAAAAAAAACGCTTTTGTCTAAACTTTATCACCTTTTCCGCAGCTTCCAGTCCAACCTCTGCAGCTCAGAACAACCTCGCTAGTCTGCGCAACAACAGCCTGACCAATCAGGATGCCCCTTTTGACCCCTGCAGCGAGAACCGACTCAGAAACTCTTGCATGTCGCTTGATGAGAAGACTCGCACCATGAGCCGGTCGGGATCTTTCAGGGACGGATTTGAAGAAGGTGAAAGAAACGAATGAATGTTTGGTGCTGACCAAGCTTTCAGAAATAAATCAAGTGTAAACAGGTGTAAAGGTTGCAGGTTCGATCCCAGCTCCAGACAGAGAATTCTGCTGTTGTGTCCTTGGGCAAGACACTTAACCCACCTTGCCTGCTGGTGGTGGTCGGAGGGACCGGTGGTGCCTGTGCTCAGCAGCCTCGCCTCTGTCAGTGCGCCCCAGGACAGCTGTGGCTACATCGTAGCTCATCACCATCAGTGTGTGAAAGTGTGTGTGAATGGATGAATGATACACTGTAGTGTAAAGCGCTTTGGAGTCCTTACTCTGAGAGGCGCTATACAAGTGCGGGTCATTTATCATTTATCAAAGCTATTCCTGGACCTTTGTAACCCTGTTCTCCCAGGACTCTGAAGCCTTTCCTTCCTCTTTTTCATCCTCGATTTCTGCCACAGGAATTATTATTCCATTTGTTTGCAGAACATTAGTGCAGATTACAGTAGCAGTTCCAGAAAAAAAAGCCTTTATCCCTTTAGAAATCTATAATCAGCTTTAGTTTAGCTTTGTTTAATGGAAAAAGCACCAAGCAGTGCTTTTCTCACCAGCAGCCAGACTCAGAGGAGCAGCTTAGGCGGGCTTTTTGGACCAAAGGAATGTGCAGCCTTGATTTGGAGAACAAAATAAAACAGGAGGGAGGAGAGGGCGTGGTCACAGGTTAAAGACCGACTTCCTAATGAGGAACATTTGGTTAAGCTAAAACACGGTTTAGAGTAGATATGTTTTTTAAAGACATTTGTGGATGGATCTGAGAAAGACAGATGTAAGAAAATCATCGAATGCTGAAAACAGCTGTTTTTGATTTTGCCGAGATCAGAATATTTGATAGATTTTCTGATTTTCGTGCGTAAAACTAAACGAAAAAGACATCAGTGATTTTGTAAAGATTGTGTTTTAATTCTTGTTCGTGTCTGAAGGGATGGGACAGATATCTGTCATCTATTCTGTAGCTGGCGTTAACGGATGTAAGTGAAAACTTGTCATTACTCTTCCGTCACCAGTAACGTATCTGGTGTAGTCATCTTTCCCAGCTCTTTCTGTCCGTCTCCCCTTTGGGAAGAGGAGATAATTACAGGATCGCTGTGACAGGTGTAAATGAGACATTGTGACATTTAAGAAACCTCAAACAAAACACTCTCCCTCCCACTTTCCCTCTCTCTTTGTGTGCTTTGGGCTGCCCTTCCTGCAGAAATGCATGTTGTGTGTGTGTGTACGTTTGTAAAATGTGGATCCCCAGACATCAGCCACTGTGTGTTGGACAAGACCATCTGTCCAACACTTTGGTGCAGCTGTTTTAAATCAGTGCAACAGCAGTAAATGCTTCGTTCTAAAGGGGTTTTCAGAAATATCCATCAAATCAAATCAGTTCGGTTACTTCCTATTATCCAGAAGTTGGGAAAAATCCCCAGACCTGCCTGTTCTCTTCTGCTCGACAACCAGCTGAAAGAAAATATTTCCAGTCAGTCCTTGGTCTGCCTCAAGGCATCCTCCCAGTGGGACATCTCCGCTCTACTGGGAGTCCAAATTGGGTTGACACTCAAAGACACCCACAGTGACTCAACTCGACTTTGAGATCCTCTCAGCTGATCGAGTTCCTCACACTTGCATTTATTCACATTTTCCTGTTTATTATAATATGAAACCAGCTGTATATCAGTCAGATATCAGTAGATGCTGAGTCAGCGCTTCTGTTTTAAACAGATCTGAATAAACTGACTCAGAAATAATAAAGCAATCTCTTAGTGTCTCCAAGCTGTGACTGTTTTGGCTCCTAAAACCATAATAATGAGTTCATCTGAAATAATCTAATCACACGATCCAAACGGCCTCCAGCGAGCCTCTCTGTCTAGACCCAACGTGATAAAAGTTGAGTTCTCCGTTAGCTGGTGCCTCGCTCCCTTTAAGGAAAATGAAAGAATTCTTTTTGGATCAGCCTGACCCCTTGGTGTGGTCGATGACATCACACCGCTGATCCTTCCTAATCTGCTCCCAGGCAGGAAACAGTGTCGGCGTTGTTTCCCAGTGTCTGATGTGCGATTAGCGGCTGAGTCATAAGCAAAGTGCTCTGGTTGTTACAGTTCAGCTGCAATGTGAAGGAGTTTTAGCTCCATGACCACAGAGCTGCACTTATTACGTTTAGGAGGAGGAGGAGGGTGTCCAGGTCAGAGTGGGCGGACTGGGGGGGGGGGGGGGGGGGGGGGGTGGTACTGGAAACTGTGGGAGGTCTGTTTATAATCACTGTAATGTGGATCCAGACCAGCGTTCTAATCCTGACTTGTGGTTTCTCTTCTCCTCAGTTCATGGATCGTCCTTGTCTCTGGTCTCCAGCTCTTCTTCCATTTATTCTACGGTGAGTTTGAGCAAAATATGCATGTTTCATTTACTGGTGATGGGTTATAAAAGTATTTTTTACTGTAAAATCTCAATCAGACTCTATTTTTTCTTGAGTCCTTCATTTAAAACAGGTTCTTCTCCAACTATCACTATTTAGATCAAGCTGGCGTATTCATGAGTCTTAAAATCACAGATATCTACAAAATTATCACATAAATGATTTGAAAAGCAGCCAAATTTCTTTTATTTCTCTTCCGTCTGATGCCCTGAAATCTGACTCAGAAGTAACAGGAGGACAACTTCTGGTTTTATTCACAATCACAAAAAGATCCCAGCCCACATCTTTTCACTGCAGCTAATTGGAGCTTAGTGCTTCACAGCTAAGCTCCTCCTCTTTCTGGGCTGGTTTGCTTACCTGAGCAGGTGTAGCACAGAAACTCTCAGACACGGTTTGGCCCACAGAGTCACAGGCTGCAAATCAGAGCAGGAAAGAGAGGGGAGGCAAGATGATGGCCACTTTATCCCTGACAGGAACCATCACATCCTGGCAGTTAACGGTAGGAATAAAGAGTTGTTACACGTCTGGCTGTAAGAAGTGATCCATGCAGTTTCATCAGAGCTAAACTAATTTATGTTTAGAACATCTACAAAAACAATTTTTAAGCGGCACTTTTTGGTTCACATTTTAATTGTCTCACTTACGGCTTTATATCATTTAAACAAGCTGAGTAACTTACTAGTTTTTTAGGCTCTGATGCAAGTTTTCCCTCAGAGCAAGGCATAGCTGTGTTTGTGTTTCTGGGATCAGCTAGTCATGTCTGTGTGTAACAGTCTGGTTGTGCAGATCACACGAGCACACACACGCGCACACACACACACACACACACACACACACAGTATTAAGCTGTTGAAACCTGTGTGGTTAGTAGGAGGAAGTGTGTTTAAGAAACTCATTGAATGAGCCTTTAAGCATCTTGTTCTGGTTTTAAATACAGTTCTTTTGTTCGGTAAGCGGACTTCTAATTGAAACCATTTCCAGATCTGGTTTCATTGCCCGTTGCAGCCTGTTTACACGTAAACCCGGGTGTTGCTCTGTTTGAGGGTGCAGCAACAGGGTGTGTCGGATTCGTGTGAGCATTTGTTTTGCATTCTTTTACTTTGAATGTGTTTTTGCCGTCCTGTCGCGTTGTTCCATGTGACGCTGTAGTGGACAATGAGAGACCGTGGAATGCCTCCAGGAGGACGTCTGCTCCCCAGACATGTTGCACCAGACAATATCCTCCTCGGTTTAAAGAGCTCATCTCCACGGCGTGGATACATCGGAGAGGAGTTGGGACATGTGCAGAGCTCCGTCAGTGTCTCACCTAATGATTTTCTCTGCTTGTGTTTGTTTTACAGAACGAGGAGAAGTCTCAGTCGGAGGTGAGCAGCACGCCCACACGCTGCTCTTCTCTTTAATTTCCCGAATGCTGTGGACCTGTTAAAACTTGAACATATTTTCACACTCGTATCCAGTTCCAGTGACTGACCCTAGCACTGGTTCTTTTCCTCTCTGAACACCTGTGTACACCTGTGTGTGATCTTTTATGCATTATTCATCTTTTAACCCGGGCATATCAGACCTCTGATCTGGGAGCCTCCCTCATTTGTTTCTCTGCGTTTGATATTTAAGTCTTTTTGCAGCCTTTGTCTTTTTGATGTTTTTTTTGTTTGTTTGTTTGTTTGTCTTTCTCAATCTACAGATTCGGAAGTTACGCCGGGAGCTGGATGCCTCCCAAGAAAAGGTTTCTGCCCTCACGACACAGCTGAGCGCTAATGTAAGTAAACATACTTCAACACACAGCAGCAGATGCATTTAAAACATTTAAACCACTTCATCCTTTACTTGTTGTGCCAAGAATGTAATCTTTGATAAGGAATTTTAAAAAATGTAGAATATTACCAACAACAAGGATAGTTGCATTTTTCTTACTTATGACTTTACTGAGAGGAGCTGCTGAAATATCTTTAAACACTCATTTTAAGAAATAACTTTATTCAATAACTTCTTATATAAAATATATGTATTCCACAAAGTAAAATATATATATTTTGCTTTTCATAACTTGAATTTTGTTCTTAAATCAATAAACCATGATGTGTTACATTGTAATTTGTTTAAACGGAGACACGTTCCTCATAAAAAATGCCATAAATGTCTACTCTGTCTCTGTCACGCACTTTAAAAGACAACTTTCTTCTCAGAAGGTATAATTTAAATCACGCAGAACCATCAGAGGAATCTCTCTGAGCCAGCCAGCCTCCTTACTGAGCTGCACAAGTCTCTCCACGCTCTGCTTGTAATCAGCTGCCTGAGTGCTTGCACGCTGGTGGCGTTTCCTGTGAGTGTGGGATTTGGAAGGAAGGCAAAGGTGTTAGATTACAGGTGGTGCTCAAGTCTCAGCAGACTGCTTAAGGACAATCCCAGATGGAGACTAAAGATTTACAACACCAAGTGGTGAAGGAGCAGGAAATAAATACAAGACAACTAGAAAACCCAGAAGGGGGATGAGGCTGCATGGGAGCTTTGTTCACGTATTTGATGTATGACACACAAGTGATGAATTATTTAACCACACCTTGAAGCCCCAGAGGGAGAGAATCTAACAATGTTGTCTGCTGTAAAAAGAAAATCTTGAACACACACACACACACACACACACACACACACACACACACACACACACACACACACTTGTCTCTGAATCCATACCCTAACCATAACTAATGCTGTTCTGTTCCTAATCCTAATCTAAACCAAAAGGTAACTAGTGCCATACAAAATTACATAATTTCACTGTTTTTGCTTTTTAACCATAATGCTTCAGATCAGAAAAACATTTTCATCATCAGAAAAAGATGACCCAACAAAATTGTGGTTTTCAAGTGCTGGGCTTAATTTGTCAATGAGAAATCCTCAAGCAGCCAAATCATCACATGACCACCACCATGCTCAGCTGTTGGTGTTATCAGTTTTTGTGTGCAGAGTTCATACCTTACCGGTTTTTACCTCATGTTATCATTTAATCAGAGGGTAATCTATCAAGCTACTATATAAAAATGTAATCCATCTCACATGTTTGATTGTTCTTGGCCTTTTAAGGAGAGAATAGTTCCAGCTCCTTTTTTTATTTGGTTTAATTTGAGCCAGTTTGAGGGACATCCCCCCCCCCAGCAGGTGATAATTTTCTCACAGGATGTAATTCTGGACCATTGTTTGGGTTTTGTTATGTTTTCCTTTTATGTAAAACCGATTTAAAGGCATGTTTGGGTTTTAGTCCCCAAGGCTGAAACAGTGCTGATATTTTTCATCTCGTTCAACCGTTCTGGTTCTGATGTTGCCTCTTTACTCAAGGATGCTGATGATTTAGATAGTTCACTCTCCCTCAGACTCTGTTTATACTCATTTGGACAGTCACAGGATAATTGGTACCTTTGGTTCTGTCAACACACACTTTCATTTTAATTATATTTTTTATGGGGAGTGAGGTGGCATCGTCTTGGAACTTTAATCCCTCCACAATCAGTTTTTTTCTTCTCATGTTGTTGTTATTTGGATTGTTCAGACTATTTTTTTAAATGCATGTTTTTGAAAATGATAAAAGCGTTATATTTCCTGATGCAGATTAGTAAGGTATTACCGTCATTTGGAGAAAGAAAAGTTCATTTTTGACCTAGAGCAGAGCTAACAGCTGGTCCGAGTGAAACCAGCTAGTGTTTCTGCAGCCTTGAAACAACTCTCATCTCAGATATTTCATAGAATTTCATGCAGACATTTTTGTACCTTCAAGCATCTCACTTAAAGTTAGAATATGGAACATTTTAATAAAAAGCTTTATTTAAAAAAAACTGCACGGGGCGTTCAAAGTTGTGCAGAATGGATGTACAGTTTCTCCTTTAAAAGCTATTTAAAAGATAAATAATCAAATGTTTGATCTGTCGGGCACAACACTGTGTTTGTTTACGTCTACCAGCCACTAGAGGGCCACTGTTGCGCTTAAAAAGTCCACTCAGCAAGGCATGGTTGGGACTGTGTAAAATTACAGACTTGACCAGTCAAGCAGCTTATTCTGAGCCCAGAAGATGTTCTAACGATAAATACTGTTGTATAACAAACGCATTCGTAGAAATGAGTCCTTACCCTGTTTGTTTCTAAACATGGTGCTGGAACGTGCAGCAGTGAACCAATATCCCTACGGCTGGATTTTTAGTCCTGTTGTTGCAATACCACCTCTGAACACCAGAGTTTGCCAGAGTGTTCACCAGTGTCAGTCTTCCATATTCAACCTTTAATAGGTTATTCAGTGTTTTCTGCATCAAAAATAAGCTGCACACCTCTTGTAGCACAGCTGGATAGAATCTTGTAATAATTTTGCTGGAATACTCCCCCACAGGCTCACCTGGTGGCAGCGTTTGAACAGAGTCTGGGCAACATGACCATTAGACTGAAGAGTCTGACTTTGACTGCAGAACAAAAGGTGAAAGCAACACAGTTCATGGTTCAAACCCTCCTCAGCTGAGTGGCCCGGTTTAACGCGTTGTTGTGTTTTCTGTGAAGGACTCGGAGCTGAATGAACTGAGGAAGACCATCGAGCTGCTGAAGAAGCAGAACGCTGTCGCTCAGGCTGCCATCAATGGAGTCATCAACACACCTGAACTCGTGCCTAAAGGAGACCGGACAGGTAACGCTCCAGCTAATTCTATTAGGAGGTTTTGCCACAAAACTAGAAGTTAATTTACTTTTATAAAATGAATCTAGTCGCAATAAAGAAATAACGTACAATGGAAGCATTTTGACACTGTGACAAACTTGTCTCCGCTGGTGATTGGGACATTTTTATCTTTTTACAAATTTGTAGAAACTAAACACACTTTGTTCTGTCTCCGTATCAGTGGGCAGTAACAGCTCTCTACAGCAGCAGAACCAGCCACCAGACCTACGCATCAGGCGACAGCACTCCTCTGACAGCGTCAGCAGCGTCGCCAGCGCCACCAGCCACTCCAGCGTGGGCTCCAACATGGATGCTGATGCTAAAAACAAGAAGAAGAACAAAAAGAACTGGGTAAGAGACTGGACATGAGAAATATATACTTCTAAAGTCATGCTGAAATCATTTAGTGCTTTCATGCTGACAAGCAGGACTTAAGGTGTTTGTCTCTGTCTCAACATTTTGGTTTTTTTTTTCTCCTTTTAGCCAACTTTTAATGGGGATAAGGTGAACGAACACACAGGACACTCTCGCTCCTGTAGAAAGCACATGTAGTCTGATTTGGTCATTTTCAGATCAATACTGGGCAAAATTTCCTTTAAAATAATGCAAATGACCAAATCAATGTCAGCCAGATGGTGCCTAGTCTTAACGGTAGAGCATCTTTCACTCAAACATAAAAAACAAGAAAACATTATTTTTTTTCTGTGTGTTGTCAAAAGACACTTTTATGCACCGGTGGACAAGTCGGAGACGACGACGACGATGTATGCAGATTTTTAATTCTCATGTGCTAAACCTGTTACTCCCCGTGTTTGGTTTGCTTCAGATTTAAAGATCTTCTCTACTCTAGTAGTTTCCTACTGTAGATCAAAGTAGCAAAAGCAACTCCTGTGTGTGTGTGTGTGTGTGTGTGTGTGTGTGTGTGTGTGTGTGTGTGTGTGTGTGTGTGTGTGTGTGTGTGTGTGTGTGTGTGTGTGTGTGTGTGTGTGTGTGTGTGTGTGTGTGTGTGTGTGTGTGTGTGTGTGTGTGTGCGCGCGCGTGCGTGCGTGCGTGTGTGTGCGTGTGTGTGTGTCCACCCAAGCATCAGTGTTTGTGTAGGCGAGACCCCACAATGAGCTCCTCCATGCAGGCGCTGCTCTCCTGCTGTGTGTATAATGTGGAGTGCAAGCACTGCGTTTGTCAGATAGTCTAATGCAACAAAACATCCTGCTCTTCATGGTGGTTGTGGTGTAGATTTAACCTGCAGCTGCCCAGAGGTCAGATGAGCTCGAGTATTGTGGGGGTCTGTAGTTTGATCCTCATCCTTCGATAACCCATGAACACACCCAAACCCACATGAACGTGTTGTTTTGTCTCCCTGTCTTCCTTTGCTTCGCTCCATATGGCAGGTCTATGAGGTAAGCGTGGTATGCTGTGTGAAGTAAGAGACAAAGAAGCCTAACCCCAGCACTTTTTATAGGTTACTAACCTCACTTCTTTTCTTCCCCTCCTGCTGTAGTGCCTTTTCTTTCCTCCCCAACACCTCTTCCCTGAAAGCTGATCTTATGACGTTTGAGCTGTCTCTCTGTAAGAGAAAAGAAAAGGCCTGCCTGTGTCTGCACTGGAGAACAGCTTTTAGGAAATTGCTAAAACATTTAGTCTTTTAAACTCTTATAGAACATAAAAAATAAGTAAACTTTGATGAAATATTATGTCTACAGTTATAAGCAAAAACAAAGAAAGGAGGAAGAGTTTGCTTTATTGGGGATGTATTTGCAAGACATCAAAGGGTAACACTAATTAGATTAGTTTCTCTAGAGTCTGCTTTAACTCAAATGGATTTTCTCATGAATTAAAAATAAGAAAATTATAAAATTAAGAGATGTTTGTATACGTGTGTGTGTGTGTGTGTGTGTGTGTGTGTGTGTGTGTGTGTGTGTGTGTGTGTGTGTGTGTGTGTGTGTGTGTGTGTGTGTGTGTGTGTGTGTGTGTGTGTGTGTGTGTGTGTGTGTGTGTGTGTGTGTGTGTGTGTGTGTGCTTGTCTTTTATGCTTAAGTGGACAAATTTGAACTTTTAACCTGTAGTGTGTAGGCATTTCCACGTTGTGGGGACATTCGGCCGCTCCACACAAATACCCTTAAACATGGTTTTAGAGGTATGGTGTGAGTAACCTTTTGGTTTAGATTAGGATACAATATGTTTGTATACAAACATCTCTTAATTTTATAATTTTCTTTTTTGATAAGTGCATCAATTTAATGTCAAAATTTGCAGTATTGGCCCATTTTTTTCCAGGACCCTTGCATCTTACATGCTGTCAATCAACTTATCCCGACTGATAGGAGCCCATTCTGTCATAATAAATGCTTTTGTGGGGTTTTGATCAAGTTAGCGATCTGTGGATCTTACTGGCTGTTCCCAAGCAACATAGTTAACACCTTTACCTCATGGCATGGTACTCCCATCATGACCAAACTGTTCTTGGATGCTTGGGAGGAGTTCCTCTAGGAGGATGTTTTGGTACCATACCTTTGTTATGAAGGAGACCATTAGCTTCTTTGCTGCTCTTCTTGACACCACCTAATATCCTCCCACAATGTTCTCGCATCTGCCTGGTGGAACGAACTCTGTACTGGTGGTGCCCCAATCCCACTGCTAGATCCTGGTGCTTGCTAGACTTTCTTGGGAATATTTTTGAATTTCAGTTTAGTTTTATTAAACATTTTGGAGTTTATGCAAACTCCCATAACAAAACCCAAGGCATTAAACATGAGAAAATTTATATTTGTTGTCATTCTCGCAACTTTTAGTTAGTTAGTTAGTTGTTAGTTAGTTGTTAGTTAGTTAGTTAGTTAGTTAGTTTAATGTGCAGACCCTTTGAATTTAGATGGTCAGTAATCTGAACCCGCACCTCAGAGCTGGAGCTCCAAGTCAGTCATAAGATGATCCACCCTTTATTTCTTTTCTCTCTCTCTGGCTTGTGTTCACCTTTCCTCGGCACGCCCTCCCCTCTCTCACTTTTAACCTTACCTTTCTTACCTTTTTTGTGCCTGTGTGTTTCATTTCAGCTGCGAAGCTCCTTCAAACAAGCGTTCACCAAGAAGAAGTCTCCCAAATCCGCCTCTTCTCATTCAGACATCGAGGAGATGACTGACTCTTCTCTGCCATCCTCCCCCAAACTGCCCCACAACGGCAGTTCGGCCACCACCCACCTGCTCAGGAACACACACTCCAACACACTGTAAGATTCTGTGATACTGCTGTATGTAAAGCTCCACCAAAGTCCCGGTCCCTGAGTTCTCTGTGTTTTTAGACTGTCGGAGTGTTTGGATGGCGAGGCGGAGATGGTGATGCAGCTGCGCAGTGAGCTGAGGGAGAAGGAAATGAAGCTGACCGATATCCGCCTGGAGGCTCTCAGCTCCGCACATCAGCTGGACCAGCTCCGGGAGGCCATGAACCGGATGCAGGTCTGCAGATCTCTAGCAACACATTTCTTTAAGGTTTAGAATGGTTTTAATTGTAGATTAGAATGTAAGAAGTGATCTGAACGTGTCTGACAGCTGGAGATCGAAAAGCTGAAAGCAGAGAATGATCGTTTGAAGCTGGAGAGTCAGGACAGCAGGACTGGTTCCCAGGTGTCCATCTCATCCTCCCCTCCCCCTCACATACAAAGCCAGACCCCAGGGCCTGGCCCGGGACTGTCCCAGCACAGCCTTAACCTCACCACTAGCGAGTCCACCAGCCTGGGTAAAAAGACACTACAGAGTTTTCTTTTTATATAAAATAAATATTAAAATATTAAATAAAGTAATCATGGCAAATGTGAAAACCTCTGACTTGTCCTCTATCCTGTCAGACATGCTGCTGGAGGACACAGGTGGAGAAGGAGGCGTGAGAAAAGACGGTCGACACGTGAAGATTGTTGTGAGTTTAGAGAAGAAGTGGGAGGAGGTGAGTCGTTCAGTTGGATAAAAAGTGGTAAGTATCCCTGAGATTCCTGGTTTTCTAAACCTGCTCTAATTTCACAGGTAGGACAATTTCGCCATTTTCTGATTGGCTGCATTGGAGTGAGTGGTAAAACAAAGTGGGACGTCTTGGATGGGGTAGTCCGACGCCTTTTCAAGGTAAACACAAGCAGCTTGCTACAGAAAGTGGATCATAACATGGCACGCCTGGATCTAACATTCATCTTTGTCCAGGAGTACATCACTCATGTGGACCCGGCGAACCAGCTGGGCCTGAGCACGGACAGCGTTCACGGTTACAACATTGGTGAGATCCATCGACCCAGTGGGCCCAGCTCTGCCAGCACACCTGAGCTGCTGCCCTGTGGCTACCTGGTGGGAGACAACACCATCAACATCCAGCTCAAAGGTTTGTCAGAACTTTGTTAAAACTCCATCACAGCAGAGCCTCTGGTAATGGACTTGCAAATGATGTGGAGTTCTCATTAAGTGCATCATGCTGTTCATTAATTCCAAATATCCTTTTCCCTGCTGTGCTAATGGGTAGGTCATTCAAAGAACAAAACACACTTACTGCTGTTTCAACTCCTTTAGATTTTCGGTAGTTGATTAAAGAAAATAAACCTATTTTGTTATCTTTGAAATTGTGCAAATATTAGTTTTCAAGCAGGAATATCAGATTGGTAAATAATTTATAAAACTTTAAATGTAAACATTTGTACAAAGTCCTAAACAAGCACGTTTGTGTCTGCATCCAGGTGCAGTCAGTGGAAGCGTGGACTCGCTGGTGTTTGATACGTTGATCCCGAAGCCGATGCTGCAGCGTTACGTCTCCCTGCTGAAGGAGCACAGACGAGTCATCCTGTCCGGGCCTAGTGGCACAGGAAAAACCTACCTGGCCAATCAGCTGTCTCGACACTTGCTGCTGCTGGAGGGTCGAGCCTTGACCCCAAATGCCATTGTGACCTTCAACGTAGATCACAAGTCCAGCAAAGTAATTGTTCCTATTTTAATGTTATAGGTTACTGTTTTGAATTTAAAATGTTACATTTTCATGTTTTTATCACACATAAATTAACTTAAAAATACCAACATTTAGGAAACTTTTCCTTTTTTATTCTGCATTGTTGTTATTATGGCTGGTATTTTAGTACTTTGTCTTATAAATAATAGTTTTAATGGTGTGTGTGTGTGTGTGTGTGTGTGTGTGTGTGTGTGTGTGTGTGTGTGTGTGTGTGTGTGTGTGTGCGTGTGTGTGTGTGTGCGCGCGCGCGTGCGTGCGTGCGTGTGTGTGTGTCCGTGTGTCCGTCCATCCAGGAGCTCCGTCAGTACTTGTCAAGTTTGGCTCAGCAGTGCAGCAGTGTCTCAGGGGAAGAGTGCCCCCTGGTGGTGATTCTAGACAACCTCCATCATATCAGCTCACTTGGAGAGATCTTTAATGGTCTCTTCAACTGTAACTTCCAGCACAGGTCAGAGCATGCTTCTGCACACTTGTTTACCCGACTTTAGATGATGCATTAAATCTTGATTCAGATATTAAAAGAGAAAATTACGTTTAGCATAAATCATGTTTCCTCATCTTTTAGCCCGTACATCATCGGCACCATGAGCCAAGCCACGTCGTCTGCCCCCAACCTGCAGCTTCACCACAACTTCAGGTCAACTCCTCTCACTCTAAGCTTCTTTTGTGGGGTTATTTTACATTTTTTCATTTTGCATATTGAGACACCTGCTTGTTCTCCAAACAGGTGGGTCCTGTGTGCCAACCACATGGAGCCAGTTAAAGGATTCCTTGGTCGCTACCTGAGGAGGAAGCTGATTGAGATGGAGATTGGCAGCCGAATGCGCAACGTGGAGCTGGTGAAGATCATCGACTGGGTCCCGCGGGTTTGGCACCACCTTAACCGATTCCTGGAGACCCACAGCTCCTCTGATGTCACCATTGGTAAGGATCAAAACATCCGTGAAGAAGAATTGGTACAGAAAACTATAATGTTTTACCTCTCGACTCTCTGGCGCGCAGGACCTCGTCTGTTTTTGCCATGTCCCATGGATGTAGAGGGATCCAGGGTTTGGTTCACAGATCTCTGGAACTATTCCATCATCCCTTATATGCTTGAGGCTGTGCGTGAGGGACTGCAGGTAAATGTGATGGTTTTCACTAGTGGGTCTCAGCTGAGTTGTTTTTAAACGATTATAAGGAAACAAAGATTCAAAGTGAGATATTTTTGATTATATAATATTTTGATTTTTTTTTCTTAATCATTAAAGCTCTACTGAATGAGGGTTTTGCCAAATTTCTCATTTAAAATGAGAATGGCCAAGTTACTTATCAGTTTTTTCCAAATCATTTGTCTCGCCAACAAAAGCTCCTGGTTACCTGGCTTTTGTTGGTGCTTCATATATATGTCTGGTGTTTCCCTATTACATATGGGGTTCCCCAAGGCTTGATACTGGGTCCTCTTAAGTTTTCCTCATTGTGCTCCCTTTGGCACATGAAAAACAAAAACCCAACATTAGGATCCATCATTAAAGGACATTTAGTTATGCTTAACATTTTCCCCAGATAATCCCAGAGGGGTTAGATCATTACTCACTTGAAATAGTTTAAACAAGGTGATAAGTCAAACCTACTTACAGGTAAAGATATGATTAAGAATCTAGTTGTAGAAAATGAGAAGCACATAAAAACAGATATTTTATGTTGGGGAACATTTTGAATCTTTACTGTAACCAGTTGGAGAGTTCGTGTCATAGTCTTGTTCTCCCTGCAGCTGTACGGACGTAGGGCTGCGTGGGAGGACCCAGCAGCCTGGGTGATTGACACCTACCCTTGGTCATCAACTCCAGCTCCTGGTGACTGGCCACCCCTGCTGCAGCTCCGCCCTGAGGATGTAGGCTTCGATGGCTACTCTGCACCAAGAGAAGGAGTCAGGAAGGATCCACCCCAAAGTGACAGTGATGCAGACCCTCTGGTAGGCAACAAAAAATGTCATGATCATGAAGCCAAGCCCTTCAGAACTGTACAGTAACAGGCTAACTCTTTGTTTCTGCTGACAGATGAACATGCTGATGCGTTTGAAGGAAGCAGCTACATCATCAAGTCCGCAGAGCTATGACAGCGACTCCAACAGCAACAGCCATCAGGATGACATCTTGGACTCGTCTCTGGAGTCAACTTTGTGATACTTTCAAAAAAAAAAACAGTTATTTAACATTTTTATGAGCCGATCATTTCCTTTTGCCACAAAAATGCAGCCACCTTGATTTGGGTGCAGGTAACCCAAACATTTGGAAAGAGAATGACTTATAAGTGAATTTTAGTAAACGGGCAACAAAGTTTTTTTTACAGCACTGCCTTTTTTCCTTCACCACTGTGGCCCATGGCTCCTTTGTCAGGAACCGAACGTCTTCTTCAGACAAGCAGAAGCACACAGCCTGTCCCTGTTATCGGTCTCCTTGAACACCAGCCAGCTGTTCTCCATCCTCCACAGAACTGCAACATCACATCTTCTTCAGGAGATCCTACACAGCTGCAGTGCCCCAGAGCTGCCTGCAAGTGGCGACCTAGTTACTTTGTCTGGAGCTCCGGTGAATCTGTGAACCACTGACCAACCTTTGTGTTTGTGTGACTGCCAAAGGACCACAGGATTTAACGTGAATGTTTGGTCCTACACAAACCTGTTGTTGTTTGTTTAAGACCCTAAACTTCCCAAATGAACTGAGGCAACGTGTTTCTGGATCAGGAATGATTCACAAGTTCAAACAAATACATCTGAATGGGGTTTTGGGACAAAATTCTTCAGAACTGAAGCATTTCTTTTCATAAACACTGTAGCAAACACCAGCTGTGATCGACTCAGCTGCCACAATTACTTTCACATTATCCGAATGTGGGGAAGAGCTGGTGGTATAAAATCTAACTAAAGTTTTTGCTTTTTGTTGGGATCACACCCATCCCAGATTCCTCAAAATGGTATGCCAGCTTCAGCAGGTGTCTCTGGAAGTCCGTCTGATGAAGCAGACTTAGCCCTAACCCTAAAAGTGGAGACGGTGACCGTTGGTACCGCCGAGGTTATTAACTCAGGATAAGTGCTCGTTCGTGGCAACAACGGGAGGTTTTGACCAGTGGTTTTCTGTTGTTCAGGCACTAAGACGTCTTATTAAGGCTGTTTTAGCTGACCTGTGATTTTATTAGATAAAAATTAGAATAACAGCCTCACATCCCAGCATTTATCTCACCAAAGGAGTTCTTTTGAAGTAAAATAAAATACACAGACACACATGTCTAAGCTAGTAAATGTTTTAACACTTAAAACTAATTTTAAACACACAAGTACAGAATCAATTAAAAAAAGGCTTCTATGAATACTGGCTGGTAAATGAGGTTCTCTTTTTCACTCCCAGAAACTCCTCTGAGATCTCCCAGACCCACCTAGGCTGTTGTAGCATGTCTCCTTTTGGTGCTGGACTGAATCCTAACATTGCCTTACTCTTTCTACCAGACTATGTGCATTTATTAGCTGCTTATCTGTTGAAAAGGCTGTAACCTTAGCAGGGCTCAGAGCCGACACTCCTGTCCAGGAGCGCCGTTGACCTTTCATATCAATCACCGAGAACGAGACGTGGTGCTTTTAAGTTGGTTTTCTTATGGTTTGCATGAGTGACCTGATATTAAGGTGACTGTAAATAATCTGAACAGTTTAGAAAGAAAAAAATTAGATGTGTTTTGGTGCTTGAAATCAGAACCCTGTTTTGGGGTTGAGCAAAGTAAAAGATGTGCTGATTTTATACCTCATGCCCCATAACTTAATTGTGCTTTTGCCATGCTTATGCTGTTTATGTGAACAAACATGTAGAGCTAATTGTTAATACGGATTTGATCCGTGATCATTGTGGTTGAATGTTGATGAAAACCGACTTGTCATTCTTAAGTGATTATTGCTGTTAGACTTGATGCCTGCCTTGAGAAGTTTAAAGCCACAGAAATCCGATCCTCACCATTTCTATGCAACTTTCATTTTCTCTCCTAATTAAAGCAGACCACACCGCTTCAGAACTGTTTTGCATGGCACCAAATTTGTGACAGGTGTTATTATCTTTTGTCTGTTTCTGTCATTCCCGTGAATTGTCTTTGCAAGCACAACGATCCTGTCCGTCTGCGTAGAGCCTGCTCTGAGAGGAGCCAACGTTGTCCGACTGGTCTCTTTAAGGTGTTACTCACAAACTCTATGAATGTTTTAGCTTTTATAGCCTTGTACATTTTTATATGTAACATAACTTTGTAAATAGTTGATTACCTGGCAGAATTTTTGAGGATTTTCTTTTCTAGCCCATTTGTTACGATACTTGAAAAGGAGTATTTTGTGTACAGTCTCTTTACATCAGAGCAGATGGAAGCAGTTTGAATCTGAAATCACTGTCTTAGTCTTAAGTTATTGTGATTCAATAAATTTATGAATTATTTATAATTAAATAGTTTTCTTTTCTTGAATAAAACACACGATTTAAAATTGCTTACAATTTATTTGGCGTTTGTACAAAACAAATGAGATATACATATATACAGGACATGTGACATTATAAAACAAATTCATATAAATTAAAGCAATAACTACATTTTAATAATAAACCATTTTTTTATATTGAGGCTAAAGCAACTTAATAATCTTGTCATAAAATCCCATACAGACTTGTACAAAATACTGTACACGTGAAGACAAGCTGTGCAAAAACAGCAAACTGTCAGCGGCTCAGCTGAAGCAACACACTTTGAAACAGAAATCATTTCAAAACGCTGATCTTTATAAGTTCTGGTGGCGGGAAGCAGCTTCTTACAGATCTGGTCAGTCACACAAAAACAGCTTGAGTATAAAAAATAAATTAGGATACTGTTATTTCCTCTTCTTCTGACTCTGAGAAATCAGAATGTTTACTGGAAAGAGAGGGAGAGCAAACGCTGCAACCTGCTGTCCGCAGTCTCTCCTCCTCCTCTTCTAGCTCTTCATCCTCGGCCGAGGACTTCTTGCCCACGTCGCTGAGGTCCGGGTGCGGGTTGGCCTTGGTGGGCAGCGTCTGTTCCCGACATCCACCGGATGACAGCAGCTCCCGTTCTTTGGAGTTCCTCCACTTCATCCGCCGATTTTGGAACCAGATTTTCACCTGTGGAGGAGGAGAGAACAAGAGGAGAGTGAGCGGAAAGGTAGGTGGCAACACACTCCTTACGCACGACAGATGAACACTTTTACGCACGGGGAAGAAGTTTTACCTGTGAGTCTTTGAGGCCCAGTTTAGAGGCCAGCTTCTTTCTGTCTGGCTTGCTGATGTATTTCTGTTTCTGGAACATTTTCTCCAAAGCTTTGCGCTGCACGTCGGAGAACACCGCCCTCCTGAGCATCCCTCTGCGGGGTTTTCCTCTGGAGGCCAGGGGCCACGAAAAAGTCCCGGGGATGGGGACAACAGAGGAAGATGCTGCAAAACAAACAAAAATAATTTCATGAATAGTGTTTTATTCATAAGAAAAAATTTGCGTAACCCTCTGAGGGTGGCCTACAGCTAAAAACTGTTATGTTTGAGCTTCATAATATAGTTTTTCCTCATTAACAGCGCAGTTTTCTCGTTTTGGAGCAACGCAACACCCCCTTCGTTTTGAGTGAAATGGCACGAGGTGACTAATTAGCACATTGGCCGGTCCTCAACCGCATTGGTATGGTAAAGAGGTAGCATATCCTTAAAGGAACCCTGCGAGGGCGGATAGAGGAGTTAATAAACCGTGAACAGTAATTGTGTAGTAATGAACTAACGCAGAAAAGACTCTGGACAGGCGGCGAAGGCCATATATTATCGCAACAAAAGGAGATTTACACTTTCAAACTAAACACAACTGCATACCAGAATACTGATGCCCGGCGGGGGGAGCGGAGAGGGGGGAATGGTGCTTTTTTTCCCTCCTCCTCTTCTTTTTCTTGCCCTCAAATCATTTTCATTAAATGAACACGAAAAGCTATTCAGCACGCTGGAGTTGTTTTGTTGAAGCATTCAGCTGAACCCATGAAAAGACTCCATCTCCATTATGATTTGTCTGAATGAAAACGACTTTATAGACTTTTCTAAGGGATTATTCGTTATTTCATCTCGTTCACTGGCCCAGTTGGAGAATGCAGGAACGTTTAAGGCACACCGATCGGGATTTGGGGTCAGTGGTAACCAGCTCCTATCTGCAGTGAGGACGCAGAAGGTGGAAAAAAGTTTTTTTTCTCTCCATCCGGGATCTTCTGAGAGCATTGGGAAGATAAGTCCATGGGCCCTTCAGAACTTCACCTCTCTGCCGTGTGCTCCTGACTGTAGCTGGTCCGCGGCCGTAGCGGAACAACGACGCACTATGTGGTCTTGTGAGAATATTGAAAACTCTCAATAGCGCCTAATAGGGAAATTAGTGCATGACTGGTTCACGCCTTTGGCCCGCCTGGTAAAAGTCACTCTCCTGGGTGTGTGGGCTGTTCGCCCGGTGGGAGCTGACCAAATTGGTCACGGTGCTGAGGGCTTTGTTGGCGCCATCATGGCCTGGTGGTCCCTCCGGGCCGCTGTGGGAAAACGCAGGGCCGGGGAAATGCCAAAAAAACGCCCCCAATGGGAAGCAGGGGGACTAAAAACTGCTACCCCGCCTTAAATTTAAAGCGTGACGATTTGGGATAATTGGTTAATTAGGGGGTGGGTGGGTTGGCCCTGGGACCAGAGCCAGCGCTCCCCGTTAATGAGACAGTGATTTCTTCTTTTCTGGCTGTTTGCTCCCCCCCTTTCTTCCAATACGTAAGTTAAAATATATGACAGGGTTGACAGGGGTTTACATTTAAATGCAATTAGCACAGACAGAATTCTAAAGGTCGGAAAGAAAAGCTGCGCCTACCTGGTAAATAAGGTGTTGTGAATATGGGGTGAAAGGTCCCGTCAAAGCAGGAAACGGGGAAGGCCTTGGACTGCAGGCTGTGGACCACTGTGGGTGATGACGCTGCAGAGAAATGATCAGAACAGTTAAGGCATTTACCAGAGGAAGAGAAAACCAGATAAACTGTCTGTCTACTTACCCGACTTTGGTGATGGCGCGAGGATGGCGCTCACTCCAAACTTGAGAAAACTCGGGTCTTTACTCGGCACTGACGTCTTGGGCGAGCAGGAGTCGCGCGTCACCGCGGTAGTCGTGCCCGCCCCGTTGTAGGATAAAGTCGCGGTAACGGTGGGCATGGCGGTGCTCGCTGAAGGGGCAGTCCGGTGTAGGAATGCAGCAGGGCGACTTATCCGGAGCAGGTCCTCCACTAGGAAGCTGGAGTGGCCCGGGAAGGTGGCTGGTAGGGTCTGGTGGAGCGGCAGGGCCGCTGCAGGCCGGTACAGCCCCGGGTAGAGCGCAGGAGGCGCGAGGACGCTGGGGATCATCATTGTCCCGGCTTTCCAATGAAATGATCAGTGCGTAAAAATCAGAAATACTCCGTATCAGCAAGAGGGAAAGAGTGGTGTGAAAGGCTGCTAACAGCTCTGACTTCCTCACTCTGGGGAGATGAGCTTTATAGCCACCTGCCCCCCCGGCTCTCCTCTGAGCGCTGACAGCCTCCACAATGGAGCTGAACAAAGTTCTCCACATGGGTCGCTTTCATGCTGCATCCCCAGCCCGCTGATTGGTGGGAGGACGCAATTTAGGATTGAATTAGACTTCATAAGCAAGCAATAGAAGATGTAAAGAACACAAAAGGGAGTCGGTCATCAATTTTGCATATTGACCAATTTCCATTTATTGGATTGTTTAAACGCAAACGGGCCAGTGAAAGAGCAATCTTCAGATCATCTAAACTTTTAAGAATGTGCTTTATTCTAGCAGGATAAACACAAAGAATTATAATTTTAGGTTATTATTCTACCCACATAAATTAGGAACAAATTTAGAAAAAATAGACTTGATAAAATATTTTGATCTGCTCTAAAATCTCTTGGCAGCATCACATGCAAATCAGTGTTAGGGTTTCACGGGATTCTCAACACTCAGTCTGGCCCTCGTCATGGAATTATGTCTTAAAGGGATTTCTGCTATCAAAACGCTTTAACAGATGTGTTAAATATCACTCTTTTTGCGCAGCATTTCATTCAGCGCGCACAGCCGCAGCTCCGAGCGCGCAGGAGAAGTGTGCGGCCCGCACCGTGCCCTCCTGATCCTGTTAACCATGAACTAACTGTCACCCTCAGCTGCGAGGGAGGCGCCCCTCGGCCTTTCTCCAACAAACCCCCCATGGGATAAAACAGGAGAAAAAAGAAGCTTTATATCTGTAGACTGTTTTGTTCTGCTATTTTAACCGACTGAATAGAAGTGCATCTGTGATTTGATTTAAAACGCATTCATATGAGCGGACACTGAGACCCCAAATAAATCTCTTATTACAGCAACTTGGAGCCTGATCGTCGTGTTCTGTCAGCTTTTCCCCTCAAGCCCTGTTAAAGGTGAAAATCCGCTGCAGGTGCGAATAAAGAGCCGTATCGATGGCTGAACTCTAAAAATACATAAAACTGTTTAAAATATATCATTTAATGTTATTACGACTTAATTTGTAAGTTCAGTTCAATTCAATTAAAATGTGCTTTATTAATCCCAGAGGGAAATTAGAGTTTCAGTACACACAATTCTGAGATCAGAAATACAGGCAATGACACTTGACAAGAATTGGTGACTGTGGTCATTAGTTTATTAAATGTAAGGGCCCATAGATTAAGCCTAATGCATTTCACTGCAAAAACTAAACAAACAAACAAAAAGAAAAACAACCAAATAATAAAAAAAACGAATAATCAGTATAAAGACAATTAAATAAAAATGTTGTCCTCTTTAAATAGTACCACTTAATTGTTTTATTTATTGATTTTGGCTATGTCCTTCAGAAAAAGGACAATAGTTTTCAATCCACGTTTTAAATAAAGAAGCTGAATGAATGATTAGTGACCCCAAAAAGTCTGGCACATGAAACAATATTCGTGAGATTAAACGAAATCTCGATTGATCAATGTTAAAATAACAATCTAATTATGTTTAATTATTTGTTCATTTAAAAACACGACAAAGAAATAAAAATAAAATTGGCTCCAACCACTTGTAATACTTTCATCTTCCACCAGAGAGCAGAAAACAGGTGTTTTTCAGGGTTATGGAGGAAAGTACTAATCCTGTTAAAGTGGTGCGAAAAAGAATAAGATAAAAAAAAATTTCTTATGTATGAAGTTTCCATATGGCATGAAACATTTGCTTTTTGCTAAACAAACTGACTATTTTTCCAGCAGATTAATTATGTTGGTCTTAAATTTGTTTTTGTACAACTTGGAGGTTTATTTAAAACTTTTCAAAAGCTTTTTACAATTTGATCATTTTCTTCATTGATTTTTAATCATTTATATTTTATATGTTTCCTCTGTTTGTAACCAGTGGCTTTTTGAGAAATTAATTTGTGATTAGTACACTTTTAACACATATCGGAAAATACAGATTCTAGGATGAAAGTGTTTATGCACATAATAGATTACACCTTTTAGGACCAATGTTTAGCTGTCACAGTTTCACACGTGATTTAACTAAAAATAATGACTAAATAAATAGGTTGTAACTTCCCACAAAATGATATGTGTTTTGGGTTTTAGAGAATAAAACTACAGGTGTGTCAGAGATTATATATTTGGCTTTTATGCTAAATATCTCTAACCACATTTTGGTTTATTCTTTTTAATAATTTTGTAGCCATAACTTTAGACTTTGGTTAAATTGAAACCAAACAAAAACCAAACCCAGTTTCCAAATATAATCCCGTTTTTACGCAGCAGTTTTAAGAGTGTGTATCATTTAGGATGAGTACATTTTCACATCTATCTAATATATAACTGGCCACAATCCGATAATTAAAAGGGAACGCCCCCGTGAAATGACCCTTCAGAGTCAGCGCTTATCAGAAGTGCGTCCTCTTTGTGCGCGCAGTGCGCACGGACGCGCGTTAACACCACGCTTCGTCCCCGCAGCTACACTTCCAATGAGTAACGAGACCTTCAAAGCTTTTTTATGAGCCTATATTCCTTTACTCGGCTGCCCGAAATCCCTCCTTTGTGCGCAGTAAGCAGATGGTTAGCAGGAAGCAGGGGCTGCTCTGGCTGACCGAGACTAATTTCTACGAGCTTTGCAAGCTTGCCACGTACCCGCGCCTTTACCAGGCCGAGTAAAAACAGCTGTCCGGAGCTGAATTAAAGCCGATAAAAGCATATCTCTGGGAAATTGCCCGCTATAAACACCCCCCTCCCCGTGTTCATTGACAAGTAGTTTAAATAATTATCCGCATTTCATTCTCTCCAGGTCAATGTTTTATTTTAGTAATTATCTGTTAAAATATATATATGTATGTATAAATTCATCCACCTCTCACATTGTGTGCGTCATATTGTGTTACAGCGATTATTAACCACTCCCCAAAGGAAAACCCTCAGTTTAATAGCTCAGGTCACGTCGCGTGACATCACAGTTTATTACTATTGTTGCGCGTCATTTTAAGGCATATGTCTCGAGGAATGACACCGACTCTGGATTTCTACCCCATAGCGCGTTATTTAATGGTGAATTTTCACGCCAGAATCTTGAAACGCGTAACGTGGAACGGACCTCTCTGTGCGTAAATGTTCCAGTTTTTATCCCCTGCAGTATATTTAGTCTGTTTCAAAATGTTCCGCGACTGTTCCTGGACTTCTTGCAGAGCCGCTTTACCAAATAGATGAACCTAACTGCATTGTCTTGACTCTCTTTCTGCTTCGTTAAGTGAAAGGGGGATTGAGTAAATATGTTATCCATGCATGAGGGGCTCTGAATGGGCCGTCTCATCGTGCTGCGGGTCCGACAGGTGGTTGACTGTTTATTATTCCCTCATTATTTATCAGTGACATGGGCGCATCAGGGAAGGGAACTCCCCATCTTTTCACTTCACCGGGATGAACAGATTGTGCTGACTGGTTGCAGCCTTGTGCATGACACCGGTTACCATTCATCCATCTCAGCTCTGATGTTCTGATCCTAACAGGTCTGTACAGATGTTTGTTTTATGCACTTTCAGGTTAAATGTGTCAGACTTAAACTCAAAGGTGTAATCTTCATAAACATTTCTGAGATTAGAAAAGTGGTAACGTCACTGACTGGGACTTACAAGTTACAAAAATGAAAACGTTTGAAGATCCATCGAGGATAACCCGAGAAAAGAACAACAAGCAGTTTGGATGATTCCATTTATTAAGGGAAACAGTTACCCATTTAGCTGAAGGCACAGAAGTAACTGACCCCTAAGTTGGATGTAACAGATGCAGTCCAGTGTTTGGAATGAACAGGCAGTTTAAGGTCAAAGGTCATAGATTTTCCTCAAGGACTTTCTGGTAGAGAGCAACATTCCTGGTTCCATCAGGTGCTCCAGGTCTTGATCAGCCCCAGACCATCACACCACCACCACCATGTCTGATTGTAGGCTTGATGTAATTTTTCTAAATTGCAGAGTTAGTTTTACACGATGGTTTTACACCAGATGTTACCTCAGTCTGAGGAATATTCACCCAAATATAATAATAATAATAATAATAATAATAATAATAATAATAATAATAATAATAATAATAATAATAATAATAATAATAATAATAACAATAACAACAATAATAATAATTCATTTTGACAAACAAAACAAGACACAAAATACCTTCTCACAACAGAAAAGGTCTTTAGCCGAGTAGATTTGAAGGAGTTCTTAAAAACCAAGGTGCATTATCAGATCACATAGTAAAGCAGCTGAAATTAGGTAACTTTAGTGTCAACATTTTGTTCTCGTTGTCGTCGTCTTCCTCCGCTTATCCGGGTCTGGGTCGCGGGGGCACCGTCCCAACTAGAGAGCTCCACACCATCCTCTCCCCAGCCATCTCCACCAGCTCCTCCGGCAGGACCCCAAGGCGTTCCCGGACCAGATTGGAGATGTAACCTCTCCAACATGTCCTGGGTCAACCCGGGGGTGTCTTGCCGGCAGGACATGCCCGAAACACCTCCCCCGGGGAGGCTCCTGACCAGATGCCCAGACCACCTCAACTGACTCTTTTCGATCCGGAGGAGCAGCGGTTCTACTCCAAGTCCCTCCCGAGTGTCCAAGCTCCTCACCCTATCTCTAAGGCTGAGCCTGGCCACCCTACGAAGGAAGCTCATTTCGGCCACTTGAATCCGCGATCTCGTTCTTTCGGTCATTACCCAAAGCTCATGACCATAGGTGAGGGTTGTGACGTAGATCGACCGGTAAATCGAGAGCCTGGCTTTCTGGCTCAGCTCCCTCTTCACCACAACAGATCGGCTGAGCGTCCGCATCACTGCAGACGCCAAACCAATCTGCTTGTCAATCTCCCGATCCCTCTGTAATGGTTAAAGAGTTACATTTTAATTAATTGCCAATGGACACTGGGCTATTTAAATCAGAAGAGTGGTTCTTTTTATTACAGGGAAATTAAATAACCACTTTGCATGAACT